TCACAAGAGTGTCCTTCAAGAGTGTCCCACAAGAGTGTCCCACAAGAGTGTCCCACAAGAGTGTCTCGCAAGAGTGTCCCACAAGAGTGTCCCACAAGAGTGTCCCACAAGAGCGTCCTACAAGAGTGTCCCACAAGAGTGTCCCGTAAGAGTGTCCCACAAGAGTGAGTGACCCACAAGAGTGTCCTCCAAGAGTGTCATTTGGACATATGTAGCACGAACCCTCCTCTGCGAGACACTAGCGTGGACTATTCTTCAGAGAAGTGGCGACGGTCAGCGAGCGGGTCACGGGCCAGTCCAGACGGCAGCTGCTACAGGCAGCAGAGAAGTGGTAGATGCCACGCCATGGTCCTGGAGATGACCTGTCCGGCGGCGGCGCAACAGGCTGTGTTGGAGAGTCGCAAGTGCGCAGTGACGCAGCGGCGTCGGCAGAGTCCCCGACGCGGTGTCGCGTGACTCGGTCATTGACACAGTGGCGCTTGATGACGCGTCGACAAGCGCAAGGCTGAAGTTGTCTCTGCAAATTTCGTTCAATTCAATTTGTTTTTGGCCGACAGTGACACTCCGCCGTCGCATGAAAGATTTCCGGACAAGAAGGAGCAAGAGCGGGGGTGAAGGTCGAAGTGTGGCCACAAGAGCGGTCCGCAAGAGTCAAACAATGATTGGCCCTGTGTTTTCGATCTTGCGTGCCTGCTCATGTGGCTGACGAACCTCGACGTTAGCGAGCTGGACCAGAAAAACATGACACATGCAAGCACTTTTCGAACGTGTTTGCATTCGGGTTCGTGGGCTCCATCTTGCTTTTTCGAAACTCATTGGGGGATGCGGTGTGAGCATGATAGTGAGTTGACGCAATATTTTCATGACATGAGCGTTGCGGCCCCTGAAGATGTTGAGCGATTGGCTCCTTTCCTCCAGCGACCAGCGAACATATATATATATTATGTGTCCTTCATCTTGAGCAGTCGGAGAATCGTCAGGGCTCCATGCATACTAGACCTACTATATAAGCTGGCAAATTGAAGACTTCACGTGCCACTGCCCAATTTTGCAAAAGCATTCCACTTTGGGTGCCATTTTAACTGACGCTAGTTGCTTCCCCTGTCCCCGGTGAGACTTGCAGAAGGCCTCTGCAGCTTATTGCGTTGGATCGCGCGAATACGTAGGGAGAAATGGACAGACAACCCAGAGCGAGCAGAGCATTTTGCTTTGTTGCTGGTTCTCAACACTTTTTCGTCACGATCGACGTCGCCATGGGCTGCTTATTTTGAAAAGGGTCCGCCCATCCAAGAATTCAATTGATAATCACGACCTTCCTGTCAGCACTTGCTAAGGCTGCTGATTGTTCTGAGGTATTCCACGTCTTCAGGGTTGGTGCGCGTGGATCGGAGTTCGCATCACCAGGCCCCTCACGTTGACGCTATAGCTCAGGCTCATGCCAAGGCTTCCGGTTGGACAAACAAGGCTACCTTCACAAGCACTATCCCTAAAACTCTTGGTCGGCAGACTCATACCATTGCAGTGCTTGCCAGCCGCGCACCTGGCGAAGTGTTGGGCAGCTCGCAATATGGGCAGGAAAGTGCTGCCTCATTGCACCACCCGCGAAGTACAGTACTTTCTACTCGTGGTCTAGGGCATCTTGTTGTTGACCCAGACTTTGAGCGTAAGTTTGCTTCTCGGCCCAACATTGCAGGCACCACCGGCGGTTGGCCGACCAACTTGACTCCTCAACATCAGTCCCATGAGCCCGCATCACTTTTCCAGGCATTCCCCGACAAGGTTTCATCGGTCTATCAACTGCAAGCTTTTGCGCTCCATTAAATTACGCCAGCGTAGATCCCACATAACAAAAGATATTTTTGTGGGCAACGCGCTGCAGCGGCTGGCCAAGCTCCAAAGCGCACACAGGCACCTCTTCCTATACATGAAGTAAGAACTTCAATAGTTCTCGTGCTATCTGGGGATAACATTGAGGAATGAGCTTCTGTTTGTTTGGACCAAGGGAATAGTGACTCGCGAGTCCCTGGGCGCTGGTGACGTGAAGTGGTTGGTTCCCAAGAGTTCTTTTCACAAAGCAGTGTGTCATTTCCGTGTTATGATCACCTCTGTCCTTACAGTGGACATTTGTGGCTTGCAAGAGAGCATCACCAAGCAAGTTGGGAAAGCCACTCTCATTTCATGCCACATCACAACAGGCCCAGTCAACCCAATTCGAGAATGCTTGAAACACACTGACACGACACGTTCTCCGCTCTGTTCCTCTTGGGCTTGGACTGGAGTGCGAAGCTCCTTTTCTTCCTTTTTGTCCTTCTTCTCCTCATCACGACATTCGCAGTAGAAACAGTAGCAGTAGAGGGATCGACTTTCAGTTCTCTCCTTATCTCCTTTTCTCTTTGGCTTGCTCTCCTCCTTTGCAGGTGGACCACCTTACAAACTGCTCCACTTTTCTCTTCAGCTCCGAATTGCTCCAACAAACGGAGCTGAAGCAAAGCCAGCATACGTAGCAGGCACCGCAGGCGCCGCAGGCCAAGTTGTTTCTTTGTCGCTCGTCAATTCTAAAACGCAAACATGCCAAGACTGGTTTGATTCGCCCAACATTTGACCCAGCCTAGCAAAGAACCTTTCGGCATGAGGCTGATGGAAAGACCAGGCAGCTTGTTCCGATCCTCATAAGCTGGAACTCGGGGGCACAATTCTGAGCACAAAAGACTCTGCTGCCTGATTTCCAGGCTTCGTTGAACCAACTTTAAAAAATAGACAAGCTCCAAGATGTCTGTTCAACTATATAGTCCATGCTACTGCATGCTGGCCTCGTCCTCCTCTGGAGCAACACTGCCTCCGGAACCTTCATCATCCTGACAAATTTTCAAGCGCACGGGTAGTATGGGCCCAGGCGGCCCATGCCCAGGAATATTGAAGAATTATACCCCGAAAGAAGCGGAGCCTTGCCTCGCTGACATTTTCTTCTTCGACAGGCTCTTCTTGGGCTAGCCCGCTGCCTATTGGCCCTTGACAAGCAAGGTATCTTTGGCACAATGGCTTCAAGAGAAAACGAATTGCAAAACTACTCCTTTCAACTGAGGAGAGAACCCAACAAATTGTTCACAGCATCCCCTTCAGCTCCGGAGAGAACCTTCATGTTCAACGCAAGGCCAACAATGCCAACGCCGAGTCAAAGCCCAGTAGTTATCTGTTTCACATTCTGGGCAAAACACTTGTGTACAAAGGGTTGGCCGATGAAAACCGCCACAATTGAATCATTCCTTGCAAAATTATTGATGGCCTGCAGCTCACAACCTTTTTCTCGTCATGGTCTCTATATAAGTGTCATGGAGTGTATATAGAGTCTTTTGTATTTTTTGACAGGGATGGTGCTTGGTCAAGCATGACATGGTAGAGTGAGAATGAGAGCACCTCGACGAGCGGTCTGCTCTGGTCGTTCAACAGCCTTGGGAGCTGAAGAGAATAAAGACGAAAGAACCGCTTGCCTCAACATGCTTCCAATACCAGGCTTCCCACTGAGTATTCTCCAAAAGACCCAAGCATTCAAGAAATCTGAGCACATCCTCGAAGGGTGTTGAACTCTTGGTACAAAGTATGCAGGCACTGGCAAGACACTTTATTCTACACACCTGTGTTCCCTCTTGAACACGACTCTCCACCGACTCAAGGGTTGCATTTAGTCAGCTGCCTTGATGCGAGCCCCAACATTGAGCCGTGCGAGCACCTGCAGAGCTGGTTCTCATCAGCATGCTTACACTTACGCCTTTCAATTTGTTTGTTCCTGCTTTCGAGGGACATGAAGCTTTCGTGAAGCGGCTGCCCAATCACCCACACGAACCTTGATTGCAAACAAAAAAGAAAGAAAGAGAGCAGGACAAAGAAGCTTTGCAGACACTTGTCTTTCTGTTTAAGGCCTCAACGATCATCAACACGGCTTAATATCCACATTGCTGAAGTTCCCTTACACACAGAAGTAGTGCTGCCCGGCAACAGCTCCATGAGGACACCCTGCAAGAAGCTCTTCTTTTAGATCCTGCACCCACAACAAATCTGGCACCTATGGCATTCTGACATGAGAAAAAAGCCGCGACTCTGCAGGACCTCTGCAGCTTGAGAAAAAGCCTCTTTCGGTTTCCTGAGATTACAATTTCAAGTCTTGCTTATCACACAGGTACAAACGAGCAAATGGAGTGCTTCATGCAAGATCTTGGAGATGCTCGTGACTTTGTGGATCATCGTTTGCAGCACTCCATGAGACGCAAAACGTCAAATGTGTTGTTTCTTATTGAACAAAGCTAATAGCAATGGCCTCCAACCTACTAGCGATGGCCTACAACCGATCACTCTTTTGTAGGTCCCTAAGTTCAACCGGTTCCCTTGTGTCCCCAAAGGGCCCCAAACACTAAGAACTGAAAGCATCCAAGACTCTTTCCACCGTGTACAGGTGGAACCTCCGCTTTCGACATACGAGTCAAACACGCATTGTGGAGGACGTGCCAGGGCATGCTGTACAGAGGGGCATTGGTGATGTGCAAATGATAAAATAGTACACTTACAGTAGTCACTCAGTGCACATCCACTTCGGCAGTTTCAGCAAATCTACGGGCTGACAAAACTAAGTCTCAAATCTTGATGTTCCCAGCAGGAGGCAAAAGACGCGAGACTTCTTGTTACTAGTAGCGATGGCCTCCACCCTAGTAGCTTCTTGTTACTAGCCATTAATGGGAAAATGTTGGAAAAGACACGAGACTTTTCGGCCGTTCGCCTACAAAGGCTACTTTGGCCCTTTAGCGCTTCGGCCTGGTTGGAAGGATTGGCCCCAAGGCCACCAGCTCCAGAAAATATGCCACCACCACGAACTGCACCATCAACCGCCTCCGTGAGAGCACCGAAGTATTCCTACTCATACATTTTTTTTCAATATGTCACTGTCACCTGTCAGAACATGTCAGAACCTTTGAGACTTGTTGCGTTCAGAAAGATGTTTTTTCCTTGGTTTATTCTTGCCAGGCCTCTTTGGCTGAGACATCTCCAGAGAGCTCCACAAAGATCTTCCACATCACCGGTTCCAGCTGGCAAAAGGGCTGGGCTACAAAAACTGGAAATCAGCCATGGGAGCATATGGGCCTCCAGCACAACTTCTCGCACTTCAGGTTGGGTAAACAGTCCGAAAACAGAACTGGTCGGTCGCCGGAAGTTGGCGAGCATACTGATCAGTCCTCCACTGTTCAGCTGAGTTCTTCAGTTCTTTGATGCAAATCGGTGCATTCAAGAGACTTAAAGCTAATTCAGCTAGAATGTGATTGCAACTGTACGTACTCCATAAATTACGGACACCTCCTCCCTCAGACTTGTGTGATGAGACGTTCTTCAGAGAGGGAACGACCTGAAAAGAAAATAAACTAGGAAATTTAGGTTTGAAGAACGCATGCGGATGCAAATGAATGAAAATGAAGAGAAACACAAAAGCTCTGACTAAACTGCCTGCTCCTTGAAGAGGCGCAAGACCTTGCGCTGGGCATGGGGTCAAGGGCGTTCAGGGACAATGGTTGTGTCAGTTGTCTCGCTGCACGGAGACCAAGTGTGAAACCTGTTGCTCCAAACCAGGCTCATGAGGAAACCGCATTGGAGCCATTCGAATAAAGCCTGAACCAGATCTGGACTGGCACGGGCAAGAAATCCATGCTAGTTCAGATGAGAAGCTCTCCAAAAAGTGCCGGAACCTGCTTCAGCAACTCAGAAGGCAGTCTCGTAAAATGTGCTCTGCATTCAAAAATCCAAGATGGAACCCACGAACCCGAATGCACGCACGTGATCGAAAACAAACGGCCAACCATTGTTTGACACTCTTGTGCGACACTCATGCAATTGTAAGGCACACTTGTAGGGCACTCGCTTGTGGGATGCTCTTTTCCCGGACACGCTGGTGGGACACTCTTGTAGGGCATTTTTGTGGAACATTTTTGTGGGGAAACTGGGAAACTCTCCTTGGACGCGTTTTGGGACACTGTAGCGGTGGTAGCGCAAGGAGGTGATGGGGCTCAACCGGATGGTTTGCTATCGAACCGAAGTCGAAAGGATCCGTGGATCCTGCTCACGCCTTTTCTTCTCCAAGGCCACGCTAGGCCTGAACTCCAGCCATGGGTCGAGGCTGAGCCGTCAAAGAAGGGCCCTTCCTGTGGAGCCGAGAGAAACGGGTGACATGAACATGCCACAGGCTGAACCTGAAAGGCTGGAAGTTGCATCAGCCCACAAAAAAGAGTCAGCTTGTGCATCTCCGGCGCTCACATGCTTCACTGCTGTCTTGCCACGCTTGGCATTCTTCTTGGCCGCAGTGAAGGTGGGGTCGAAAGCTATGCACCAGAGGAAGCTTTGGAGAAATTTCATGAGGCTCAAGCGGCATTCGGGTCGTTTCTTTGTCATCGCGTCGGCGATGTCGTAGTCGCTCGCCAACCACCTCAAAGAACAACCAGCTCGAATCATCTGCTCTCTCAATTGTAGTGCTTGTAGGGCGGAGCGAAGGTTGCTTAACCCCAACATTGGTGATTCATTCACCTGCACTGCGTCGAATCCTCCTCGAGAATCCGCGCACACGAAGCCAGCCACTTCGCGGGATTGTCGCTCAGCCCAGGCGACATGATCCACCGCTGTCGGGCGGTTCCATCCCGCTCCGTGGAGTTCTGTCCACAACAACCTGACGCGGAAGTTCAGGTCCTCGCCATCAAGAGCCGCCTGCACTTCTGCGTCGTTTGATCCTATGGACTTGCGCTTCAGCTTCCACGCTTTCCATTGAAGGAGCACCATCGGACAGACCTGTCCGCTTTTGGCCTCAGGGCCAGCCATCGTGGTCACTAGAACTCCGGTGGAATCACCACCTGGCCCGTTTGCGTGCGCTTGGTCCGCGAAAGTGATCACGGTGATGTCACGCCAGGTCTTGGCCTTCTTGAGCTTGAAAAACTTCAGCTGCACAGGATGTTGACGGACTTGCAAATCATCCTTTGGATCTCGATGGCATAGGACATTTTGCCATACTTCACAAGCTCAGAGAGCAGTATGTTGCAACGGCCACATAGTTGTGGTTGCGTCTGAACAGCCAACCACTGTAGTCAGCCGAGTGCTCCTCTACAGGCCATTAGCTCTGCAGCAGAAAGCTTTGCTTCTTCATCGCGTAGGCGATCTTGAGGGATGTTGAGGTCGCAAAGCATATCTACATAATACTGCTGGTTCACAGTGATGACCTGGTCGCCATCGCGGTCTCTGGTGACCTCAATGTCAGTGCCTGCGTGACGATAAGAGCCAACCTTTGCAGTGCCCCAGGTGTAGGCCTCGTCGATGGACCGTTTGACCGCTGCCCACTCCTCATCATGCGGGCTGCCAATGCGGTGAAAGTCGTCGACGTGTCCGCCCATCATGCCGATGACCAAGGGAACACCACGCTCATCCTTGCGGGAGGCACTTGTCCAGATCCACAGGCATCTTTCTCCCATGCAGGGTCGACCGCCAAGCTTGCACAGGGTCTCGTGCAGGTCGAGCCACAGACCTCTTGGAGCCGTGGTGCTGCCGTATATGCTTTTCATGATCTTCATGACTCCTTCGGGACCCACTTGGAGAGCTTCACGGAGTTCAGCGACACCTGTAGTCCACAGCTTTGCATCTGCGGATGTCGGCTTCGTCTGCAGGAAGGCAGTGGCGAGGTCTAACCCTTCAAGAAGCCAATCATGTTGGCATACCATTTGGTATAGGAGGTTTCGGGCAAGAACTGACTGCACAGGACTGCTGGTCTTGTAGTCGGTGGAGCCCAGCTCGGGGTGCTCATAGCCGAGGAGAACAATGCGAGCCTTGGCCTTTCGGTCTCCTTCACGGGTGTGGACTGTCTTGGCGTTCTCAACAGCGTCCTTCTTGGCGTCGGCACGATCTTCAGGAGGCAGCAATTTCCAGACAAGGACCCATCGGGCACGTAGAACACGGCCAGAGCCACGAGCTTCTTTGATCTCTTGATCATCCAGACATTTTCTCACGGCCTGGTTCTGGGCGAAACTGGATACCTCTTTGGCTTTTGCTCTGTTGAAGAGTGCTTGATGTTCCTTGGAAAGTTTGCCAAAGACGACCTCGCTGTCACGCATCTTTTTGACCAGAAATGCTGATGGGTTGTTCAGGAAGGCCTTCTTGGATCTATTGGAGTCCAAGTCGAGGTCAAGCTCAATGGTGAAGACCTCGTTGTCATCTGCAATGGCTGCCTGAAGGATCTTCCACTGTTTGTCCTCCTCCTCAATCATGTAGTTGATCCACATGAGGTTATCAGCCGTTGGAACTTAAGTCACGTCCAGGAATTGCTGAGGGTGAGGCTCTTGCAGAGGATGATGAAAAGGCGCTGACTTCTTCACGCCTTGGAATCTTCTCAGGAGGCTCCTCAACTTCCTCAGGTGACGTGGGTTCATAGTCATTGACCATAGGTGGAGGCTCAGTTCATTTCTCTCACGCCGTTTGGGTCAGCATCTCCTCAGGAGGGACTGTTGTTTTGCCAACAGCTCTGCGAACGGGGACCAGCATGGTCTCAGGATCAGGTTGATCTGGTAGATCTGGAGCTTCACGATCGTCTTCGCCAGGAGGCTGATCGGCGATGTCGATGAAGTCTTTCTTCGGCAGGAGGTCGGAGATGGATCTCCATTGTGTGGGATCTTCACGGGTGCTCAGCTCGTAGGTCATCTGCTCGGCCGGAGTGACTGGTCTGACCGAGTGGACAGAGCATCTCATCAGTTGGGATCCGGTCACAACCCAAACGATGTGACGTCGTTGATTTTCGGGCTGTTGATGACCAAGCACCTCATGAAAGACTACTCTTCCAGGTCCAACCCATTGTGGCTTTCGAGCTTTCTTGGATCCACCTCGCCGGCCTTGGTACAAGGAAGCCGGCCATTCAGGTCGCCACACTTTCACCAGTTGAGTCGGGTGAAAAGTGCGAAGAGGTTGGCGAACATTGCTATTCTTGAGTTTGCTCATGACTCGAAGTTGTCTTTCGAGCCACGGTTTCGGCATCTTGTCGAGCTCGGACCAGGGACTCATAGGACATGTGGTCCTCATAGTTTTCAAACTCTCGGAACGTTCTCAGGTCTTCATCGGCCAGGGTGTAGTCCTCGCCGTAGCACCATTGAAAGGCAGAGTAGCCCTTGGTGTACTCGGTGGAGTTGAGAGCTGCACATGCAAGCATCAAACTCACACGGGGATTGAGATGTGGTTGATCAATTTGAATGGCTGAAGCTGTCATCTTGAGATCTTTGATGGCAGATTCGACAACGCCATGTGCCCATGACTCCTTTTCAGCAGGACAGGCCAATTGAATACCAATGCTGCTGCAGAAGTCGTGCATCTCGCGACTCTTGAAGGTCTTGGAGTTGTCGGGCACGAGGATTTCAGGTTTTGGCTTGTCCACAAGCCATCGTTCAGAGAAGCCGGTGATGACTTCTGTTGCCGTCTCACCTTGCATCTGGAGGAAGTCATACTGTTTGACCACATAGATCGACTTGAGCTTTGTGGCCAGGTCAATGAACAGCAAAAAGCGTAGCTTCACCTTTTGATTTGGCACTAACCACTCAGAGGCGTCAACGCCCACAGCCTGCCATGCCTTGTAGAGCGAGTGTGTTGAAGCTGGAGGAACCTTGCCAGAACTGTAGCCACCAAGCTTGAGGCTTTGACAGGTTTCACAGACAAAGTTCTTAGCCATGTGAAGCTTCCATGCCGGTAGTCCAGCATCTTTGGACAGACGTTGAAGGCTGCGATTGCTCGGGTGTCCAGCAGCACGATGATAATGTCGAAGCCGAGCCAGCCATTGATCTTGCTCCTTCTTGGAAATTTCTGCTAGAGGATTGGCTTCCTCTGGCTGTTCGGGAGGATCATCATCATCAGGAACGAGTTCTGCTGGAAGAGCATCAGGTTCATGAAGAAGCTTTTGCCTTCTCATCCAGTTCTCAACTTCATGATCGGCTTCACTGGAGCCAGTGGTGAGGTATTTGAGATGCCGTAGAGGAACAAGTTCTCGCTTCCAGTGACGAACAATGGCTTCCACCATTCGGCGGGGATAGTATGCCGATCTTGATGTTTCGATGCCTTCAATCAGAGTGCGTCGATGATTCTTGGGACAGACCTTTGCTCTGAAGTTCTTGTGGAAGAGCTCGTCAGTGGTCTTGATGAGCCAGCGCTTGTGCAGGAAGAGGTCGTTGTTGCGATCTCGCACGCCATAGTTGCAACCATCAATGCGACATGACTCCCAGGGAATGGAGCGCTTGCGAAGCTCATGTTCCAAGAACACCATAGGATGTTGTGACCATCCAGAGCAGGGGAAGGTCCATTCGAAGTAGACGTCAACGTTGGGGTCGTTGTCCATGGTGTCAAGGATGAAGTCTGCAGCCCATCGAAGCATCCTTCTCTCACGCCTTCGATGGCTTTCAAGGACCTCACGCTTCTCCGGCGTGTTATAGTTGACATGACTCCATTGGCACCGTTTCGTGCAGGGCAGAGAGAACCAAAGTTTCCGAGGTCGGTCACGACGTCGTTCGGCTTTGAGACGTTCCCAAGTCTCTTGCTTGTAGATGTCATAGCCCTGGAGGTAGTTGATGCGACGACCACTGATGCCATGTTGCTGAGCTGAAGCCGTCAGCCAGCTGTTGTCAGAGCAAGCGATCTCCCACAGACCTTGACGTCCTTCAAGGTTCATATTAAGTGCCACACTCATCAAGATTCTGAATTCCTCTTGTTCAGTTGTTTGCTGCGCATCCAGAAGTTTGAAAAAATCATGCTCAAAAAAGAGAACTATAGCATCAACCATGTTGAGCCATGCCTTGCACTACTCTGAAGAAGCTGTGCTCTAGCGTCAGCCAATTTGAGCCATGCCTTGCATTACTTTTGCTTTGTGCATGCTTGGTGCATTTGAACACACAACGCTGTAGCCTCCCTTACTTGGTAACCGACTCGGTTTGACCTTGTTGGAACTACAGTAGTTCAACCCAGGACCTGTAGTTTTTTGAGGGTTGGACGGGGTTGGGGGCTGGAGTTTTCTTTTTCAGAGGCCCGCGTCTTTCGCAGCCATTTCTGGTTTTTCTTGGGCCCTCGCTGGTGGGTTGGAGGCAAGGGTTTTTATCAAAGACTAGCTAATACTAGCTATAGTATTCAGTATTTGGACCCCTTTAGTTGGCAGGTCATGCCTTCGCGTTCTAGAACTCCGCCACGGCTTCGCAGACAGGACACTAACTTCAGATGTTTATTTACCTGCGTGTGCAATTTTTGTGGGATAGTGCCCTGCATTTTTGGTTTCATCGCAGAACGCAGCCTTGGACTTATCGCCAGTGCCTTCCTCTCAGCTAGCTGCGCTGTTGTCAGTGATTCTCAGCCAGCTGTGATTTCAAGACCCTAGGACACAGCAGATCCTTGAAGAGATTCACCCATGTCGCAGGGTAGATTGCTTAGCAAGGCTTTGGGGTCCACTTGTGATGAATTCAAGTTCACTGACCTTAAGGCCATGCCCACTGCACACGTGGCCTTGGACTTCGATCGCCACCACCTTTCCCCATTGGTCTGCCCAGCCAATTTTACCAACTCCGAAGTGAAGCTTCCTGAAACTTTGCCAGGATGAGCTGCTGCAAGAACGAGCCTATCTAGCAACTGTGGTCAGGACTGCACTCTACTTGAATTTACAGGCCAACAGCCTACAAGTACCAACATGTAGAGCGCCCTTTTCTTGAGCCAAACATAGAGGTCAATATGGTATGTACAGGTGTACAATCGTGCAAATACACCCCCCGCTGAACGCACTTGGCAGCAAAGGTAGTGAAGAACACTATACACGACTATGTACACGGGACAATGTGCATACTGATCTGACCTCCGGTTCCCCGGTGTTTCCTTTTATGGTTAACACCGTACGTGCCTGCGGCTTTCATAGATTCTTTGCCGACCTGAGGCGCGGGGGAACGACGATTAACCCGATTGATTATGAAGTATAATGCCGAACGGACGATTTGCAGTCGGACGCAGCTCTTTTCACATGCATCCGCGGATCGTCAACTGGAAATGGGCCTTTTACGTAGGCACACGTTTCCACGCGGCATAATTAGTGATGCTTCCGTTTCAGGAAGAGTGCACTTCGGCTAAATCGAATTTGAGCCTTGCAAAGATTGCGGATCGCCTCAAAGAAGATGACGTGAGGCAACTGCTTCCGCAGCGCGTGCAAGGACTTTCGAGAGCATGTCGACGCCTAGAAAGACAATGCGCTACCACAAGCACTGGATGAAAAGAACAGCGCAACTGTCATAAGGCATCGGCTCCCGCCGTGCATAGGTGGGGTTTATCGGCCGCGACCCCACCAGTCCGCTCCGTAGTTATCTTGGTACCAGGTCCAATCTGCATAGTGCCAACCTGGGATGGTACCAACGTCATCATCGAGGTCCCTCCAGTCACGGGCCCATCGATTCCTTGGGTAAGGTGCATTCTCACGGGTCTGTCGACCTCCGTGGCGCCATATGTGCCCTTACCTTTCCCTTTTGCCCGATCGACACCCTCTCTTTCCGGAACATGGATGTTCCTTGGGTCTGCTCGCACGAGGTTCTCATAGGACGGGATGCTCTGGAGGTCGGATGACAGCCATCCAACAAACTCCGTTTTCAGCTTCTCAACGTCCTTCTCTTCCGAGAGGAATGAACCAGAGAACCCCAATACTTCGAAGCGGTGGTGTTCCATTGCGTACAGTCCGACAAAGACACCAGGGCGTAGGATCTTGTTCTTCCAGAAGACAAAGACCTCGTTCGATACATCGACTTCTCGCTGAGTTGTGTCGGGAATCATCAAGATCTTCGCTTTCACATTGACGCCTACCCCTTCTTGGATTTGTTGGGCGGTGCGCGTTGGAATGGGCAATACCGCTGAACTGAGTCGTTGCAAAAACTTCAAACAGTCAGGGGACATGTCCTGCGCCGCGCAGTTGAACGCGTAGAATGGATCCATGCACAACCGCTCTGTGAGCGAGCCAAATTCCAATTTGGACGCTTTGTCCATGTGCGACTTGGCGTGTGCTCGGATCGTTGCAATGGCAGATTGTCCAGTCCTGATCCTACCACCTGCAGGATTCCTCAGCCCTCGGTCCCCCCGGGCACGAATATCGTCATCCGGGAACATGTCCAATGACAAGTCGAAACCGAAGCTTGCGGCCAAGTTTTCAAGACGGACAAGCAGCGATGCCTTCCTCATATCCGTAGCAACACGAGCTAGTCGTCCACAGTTCAAGCACGACAAACATCCGAATGGGGCATCGGATCCGCAGTCCATGCAATGCTGTGGCTCAACGTCGTGTTGGCGAACGGTGATCCACCGTGAAGTGAAGAACTTTTCGTTTCCCCGAGGATCATAGCGCATCTCCATCTCAGGGGTCCAATGCGCCCAATCAACTGATCCCAGCGAGAGAGGCCATGCCGAGTTGTTGGGGGCATCGCCTTCCGGCTGCCATGCAATTGCCATGTACGGAGTTGAATACGTTCCGATATTGGCATCTGCATGCTCGAGCTGATCCTTGCAGAATTCACGGTTGTATGATTCGAGGATGAAGGCATTTTCCACCCAGGCCCCATGCACCCATTTCTCATATTTTCCGAACAGGTCTCACCTAGACCTTGCCAGCAATGACTGCCTTCTTGCGTTGTCGTCTGCCTCATCACCACGGTCAAGCCGTTCCCGGCGACGCACGACAATGTCTCGGAGATCCTGATTGAATGAGGCTCTCTCTTTTGCATAATCGTGATTCGCATAGATGAAGCATTTTGCTGACACATCATACGCATAGATGAGGAATTGGTTCGGAACCCAATCAGTGGTCACAACGGCCTGGCTTTGAGTGACGGCGAACCTGATTCCATATGACACCGCCATCTCGACATCAACTGCGACCGCAACTGGTCTGGTCGAGGCCATTCCTGCTTGACTCGTCTTCTGAATACTCCACGGATCGAAAGCCGAGAAGTACGAATGAGCCTTGCTAGTCCTGAGTCCCCCCGGACAAATGCCACATCGGATCACATCATCCAAGAAGGCGATATGAGTGTAGTGGTACAAGACCTTGGGGTGAATGTCCTTGAGGTGCAAGTCAAGTCGTACTGGAAGCGTAGGATGCTCCCTTCGCAGCAGGCGTTCGATCGTGAACGACGGATCAAGACAGATGATTCTGTCGACCTCAGGCCACGCCATGTTGATGTTCTCCAGGATCCAGTCGTTGTGAGATTGGATTGCCTTGATTCGCACCGGCAGGAAGAGATACTTTTCAGCGAAGAGTTCCCCCTCGCGGGCAAGCTGAACATCGAGCATAAACCTATGGTTTGACGTCACGATGTCAATCAAGTCCGACACAGTGAGGGAGCGGGAGTACCTCCTCTTGATGAATGAGAACACCGCATCCATGCTCCATCTTGGAAGTCCGGAAGCGGAATGCGATCTCGTCGATTGGCATGGTTATGCCCTCGCAGCAGGCCGGAGACACGCTTTGAAACAAAGAACTGCTCCTGGTCATACCACCCGATCACCGCGGCACCAGGCACTTGGTTTGCCGGCATTGTCGTACGGATCGGAGTTCCTCCTGCTGGGACCAATTTGGGCGCATCCCTTCCGGGGGCCGCAGAACTCGATGCTGCGGCTTTGGGCACGGATGATGGCTTTGGCATGTGTTTCGCCTTGGGAGGATTGGCAGAAGATGATGATGTCCCTGCCGTTTCTTCCATTTCAACGTCGACCACCTCTGATGAGCCTTTCTTGGCTCCGGCTTCCGCCGAGCTGGACATGTCGACATTCACGACTTTGTCTCCAGTTCGGAGCTTCTTGAGGCTGTCTGGTGCTGCCTTCGCCTTAGGAGCCGCACCGAGATCAGCGGCAGTCTTCCTTTTGAGGGCAGGCAGTTCCTCCGCAACCGGGCGGTGAACTCCGTCCTTGTCCCGTTTGTACGGGCAAGGTTCCGCCGGTGGTGGCGGTGGCGGGAGTTCATCATCGTCTCCGTCATCGTCGATGAAGTGCAAAGGAAGAGTTCTGCCTGTGACCGCCTCGGTGTAATGGCGCAGGGCGTTGCTCGACATGGAGATTGCTCCATGCGGGTTCCTCGATAGATGCAATGCGCCCCCTTCAAGGTATTGGGCTGCATAGATCTTGTTGAACTTCATTTTATCGGCAACGCTTTCCAGCGCGCTTGAACCTCCGACGATTTGCTGTTTGAAAACAATCTCTTCATCATCGGATTCAAGAGCGTCATCCTGCGGGTCCTGGTAACCTTCGGCAAGGGCAGCCTTGTAGTGATCGCCCACGATCTCAATGATCTCATCGACAGTCTCAGGTGGTTGGTCGATGTCCGATCTGATACGAAGGTCTGACTCTTCGATCTCTACTCTAGACACG